TGTTTAAAATTTGTTGTTTAAATCCACTTAAAATAAAACTACTTTGACCAAAAAACCATCCCCTCAACTTGGAAAAATATTTGATGCCCCTGGATGTTTTGTTAGGTTACCTGGCGTAAAGTACATGTTAGTTTGTGCAATTGTGCGGCACTCATTCTGTCAATTCATGCAATATTAGTGTTAATGTAATACAAAATTGTGATTGTATACTACCCAAGTATACTTTGATATGATGTTGAGTTTTGTGACACATGATACCTCACTGATTATCAAGGACATGTTATTGGTGGTGACTGTTGTATGGTGAAGTTGACTATTCCAATTACATGGTGTCTGAGTAAAGTTTTTATGTATAGTATACAGGTAATAGGCACATTAGTATATGGACCAATAATTATAGGTTTAGTAAGTGAAGCTGTTTATTGTCTGGATCCGCTTTGTCACAATTGTAAGACCTGGTGACCTCTTGTTGCACACATAAGTGTGTTTGAGTGAATTAACAAAAATGTTGAAAATCTTAAACCTTGCCATAATTAGCATCAATTTAATTTATTAAACAAATTCTTCAGATCAATAAGGTGTAGACTTTTATTGATATTTAGCTTGTAGTGTACATTGGTTGCTGTCAAGGTTGTTTATGGACCTTAACCTACTTTTGAAGGTCACAAATGCAAGGTGTGTTTGAGCGCTTGTTATTATACATTGGTATGCTAAACACTCTAAAAATGAGAGTGAAAAGTGTTTATGTATACTTTTTCTATTTTTCAGTGTTACAAACGGTGAGGGTGGATGTGACGTCAAACCAGAATTCTTATCAACAAATTGCATTGATATAATTGATGGTCAAGTGAAAGAACAAGAATCTTTATATGAGATACCTCTGTATAGCAAACCTGACAAATCAGGTGAATACATTACTATTAACTGGATACAGAGTCTGAGGATACTTTATAAAAATATGATTATTTCAGTGATTTTTTTTATAATTGAGACAAAATCAAAATCAAAAAAGCAATAAAGGTATTTGTTCAATAATTACAGGATGCCTGTAAGTTTATAAAGATTTCGTCAGAACTAATTAAAAAAGATGGTTTTTCAGAAAGGGGAATTTGAATTTACCCTGAAGGATGTCATCATTTTAGTAATATCAGGATGAATAAACCCTGTCATTCCCTTTTTTAATATCATCAATTATTCTTTACAGAAGCAAGCACACGGTCCCGGCCATGTGAAGATGTACAAGTGAAATCCTTATGTGTCCTTAGGAAACCCAATCCAGAAAAGTGGTCTTCATCAAAAGAAAACTGCAGTGGGAGCAGTGGTACAAAATCCAAAAGGAAATCCAGATCTTATCCTCAGCCTACAGTGGTGTGTGGTGCTTCCCTTAGACGGACTAATCTCACACTTTCCAATAAGGAGGTACAAAACACTGACATCACCACAGAAGTTCAACTCATGAATGAGGTAAATGAAGTGGTGAGCTGTGATTCTAATCCAAGGATTATTGAAGATGAAGATTTGGAGGATGAAGATGAAGGATGTCAGGATGAGTTGTTGAATTCTACAGAATTTGTGCCACATATACTTTTGTTAGCTGTTAAAGATGATAGTAGAAAAAGTAGTAAACACAAAGAAAAAGAAAGCAAAAAAGTTTCTTCTTCGTTGTCGACCAGTGAGTTGAGTTATGTGAATGTCCCAGTGCTAGGTTCGGGAGACCATGTGACTGTCAGTAGCAGTAATTGGGCACAGCTGGATCCTATGTTTGATCCAGATCCAGACCCAGACGTTCAGATAACGGGAATCACTCCAGGACCAAGCACCAACTTCACCGGTACCATCAATGTTTCTACAAGTGACAGTTCTCCTATTATTGTCAAGGAACACAATGGTCCGACTGAACCTGAGCAAGGAAAATCTGACAATACAAGAAAAACAGAAGAAGTAACAGTAAAGAATACTTCAGTGACATTAAAGCTACGAGCTGGGGCTGTTTTACAGTGTGTAGAACTCCCAGAGAATCTACGGTCTGATAATTTTGAAATTTCTCATATTATTCCTACCTTAGATGGACAGCATTTGATAGTGGTTGTGAAACCTAGTACAAGACACTGGAACGTGGCTGCCTCGGCGGAGAACAATGCTGTGATATCCAACTCTATAACAAACAACTGTGATGAACCTCAGACTGCTTCTGAAGACCTCAGCTCACCTAGCTCTGTGTCTGATATGGATATAGACTTACCAAAGGATAATGAAGGAGATGGGGACTGCCAAGGGGGCTGTATACTGGTATACAGCTTCACCTATGGCAACGAGTATGCTGTGTTGGACGAGTCGCCCGTGATAGTCAAGTGTATCGACAGACTTGATCAAGGTGTGAAACATGTTCTGGTGCTTCCACATGATGTGTGTGACCTACAAGAGGATGATGATGACTGTGCAATGTATGGACAAGTGGGTCAAGTGCCAAATTCTGTCTCTAATAGGTCATCTGTTGACATCCATGGTCAGATAGCAGTAACTCTAGTCAGTGGTAAGGTGTGGCTTCTCAACCTATGTGATCTCAGTAGAGTGGCAGAGGTCACCCCTCCAAGTGGAGACACGTTTGTTTCTTCAACATATTGTACAGGTAATTTTTCCATATTTTGTTTTTTGAAAATACATTTAAAGATCCCTGTTCCAATGCAAAAAACAGTAACTATGAATTAGTAACTTTTCCACCAGCATAAATGATATTGAAATAGAAAAAACAACTGAGCTACCTGATCTGTGATAGATTTCGCTGAAGTTATATCTAAAATGAAATTAAGGTGTTTTTTCTGAAGTAGGACGAGTATCCTTTTTCATTTTACACAATTTCATATAATGTAATATAGAAAAAGATACATAATCTTCATTTCTTTGTAGAACATATCTCATGTATTTATAACTGTTTAAACTTTTAGGTGCGAAAACGCTCCTTTTACAAGTGTATAGTTTAACATGCAATTGTCTTGTAAAATTTGTATTTTACAATACATGTACATATGTTCAAAGTGAATGAAGTAGATTGTAATGAGACCTACAGCTTTACACATAAACCTATAACATTATAACATTATTCATTTTGTATTCTGACATTTAGGAACAATAAGATGTTTGCTAACTTTACAGGTATTGAGCGACTGTGTATATGTACAGCTCATGGGAAGCTGCACTTCTACCAGCTCTGTGACCACAGTCCACCCCAAACCAAGCAGCAGCCTTTGGACTCACCTGATGGACTGTGTAATGGTGAATTTCCTGCTGAGCATGACACCATTCAGAGTAAACCAGAACAAGAGAGTAGGGAAACCACTGATAAGTACAGTCCTGGTAAGTTGTACA